AACAGCTTTATGAAAGAGTGCCCACTGAAAATAATGATTCATGGATTAAGACACAGTTCTTACATACTTGTAAATAATGTAGTCTGACAATATTTCCTTTATTCTTTTAAACACTATATTCTTTTGATTTTTTCTGTTATAAATTATTTTCTGTATTAAAGATTACATAATAACAATAGGCATTTCAAAGAGTTTATTTTATGTCAGATAATATGCTAGGTGTTTCACATGAATTTAACCCTCACAAGAACCCTGTAAAATAAATATCATCTCCACTTCCTAGGTAGAAACATGTAGAGATATTGTTCCAATCCCCAAGACCACTGCTTCTTAGTAGTGGACCCAAGATTTTAATCCAGTTCTGATCTCTAAACCAAACTGCTTCACAGATCCATTAAATATCACCTGGTATAGTAGGATAATGTGTTTTGCTAGCAAATTACTATAAAAACAGATGGATGGACAAACACATATAAGTAGACTAAATAAGGAAACTTATGAATTGACACCTTAAAAAAGGATAAAAGAATAAACAGTTAAATATGTTGTCCCAGAATATTAAGTAATGTCAGCTGAGGCTAAAAGGAGTTAACTCATTGTATAAAAGAGCTACTACAAATACTAAAAAAAATGTACTTTTTAATAGCTAGATATATCTTAATATGAAAGATAAAACAGTAAAATTTCTTTAAGATTAAGATGTTATTTAAGCTGCCTATACTCTTTCTTCTTAAAAGAAATATTAAGTAAACATTAGAAATAAGTAAGAAAATAATACAAGAGCATAGAAAAAGTTTCAACTGTGGAAACATACTGTAAAAACTAGGAGTACTAGTAAGGGGTATTTAAAATTTTAAAAAAGCCAAGTACTTTTAGTGGATATATCAGTAAACAGATGAAAAACTACTTGTAAACTAACACCAGGGCTCAGAAAAACGTAAGAGGCAACTAAGAGATTTTTTAAACGCATTCTGACACTAGTACTAAACAGGCTAATTTAAACTACAGAAATGCTGGCAGAAGATAAATTAAACTTTCTTTGGAATTAAATTCTTAATATCTTCTTATAACCACTTACTAGAAGAGAAGGAGGATAATTAATTATTTCAGCAATAACAATTATCTGTAATTGGTTCCCAAAAAGTTGATATGGGAAGACTAAAAAGCTGACAATTATGTTTGCTTTCAAATTCTAAGAAGCACACGGAACAGAGATTTATTGGTAAGATAGAGAAAATAAGGGGGAAACCATCTGCAGACTAAAAGGCAAAACTGATGATAAGTTCAAATTGTAGCATATTTGTAATGTCAAGTTTCTTGAAGGCAGGTATTATACTTTTCAAATTCAGAACATACAGTACGCCAAAAAAATAATAAATGTATTATCTGTTGAAATAACAGAATGAACTATTTTCTATAAAAGCCAAAAGTTCTCCCTCTGGGGTCAAGACTAGAACAGTAGTTTCTGTAGCTCTATTACATGAGCTAAAAATGCACGTAACACCAACAAAAATTAACTTATGGGGGAAAATGCAAGCTATGCTTAAGAAAATAACCTAAAATGGACTATCTATAGCAGTTACCTTTCTAGAGGAGTTAGCCAGCACTATGTGAATCACTATCATAAAAAGAGTAAGGACCACTAATGAAACAGATTTACCATTAATATTACTCCCTAAGATCAAAGAGGAGGATTAGCTGAACTTGAATAATAAGCAGCAGTTGCGATCTACTACTATCACGTCCCGTTCACTACATTTCCAAAATTTGGAGGAAAAAAAGACCAGAACTGCAGCAGCTTTCAATTTATACCATGTATGGGATGACAAAATATAAAAGTATCCAATTTTATTACAAGAAGAGAGGTCACACAATAGTGGTCAAGCTAGTCCTAGTTTGTAAGAGTGGTGCCACTTATCCTTTCCTGCCACTGCTGTCTTTTATGCAACTTGAGCACAAGTGGGAGGAAACTGGTCCTCTAAGCTCTGGCTGGCCTATGACTTTATCTGCTTTTCCTCAGTGTTCTGCAAAACAAGCCATTTAATACTACCAGGAGGTGCAACAATTGTGGAAAATATCTCCAGGTCTTTAAATTCTCAAAAACCAATATTTGAAATACATCATTATACTTCAGAATTGCCACCATACTTAATCTAACTGTAGCTCCAGGGAACACATTCTGAAAAGTACATTTTTCTTTCTGAAGTAAACCTCATTGGGTAGGGATATATGTTAAATAAAGTCCTAGTTCTCCTAAGTTATGGGTTGCACTTATTTACTGCATAAAGCATTTAAATATAACATTTATTGATTACCACTTAAAAAAAATTCCCTTTTCAGCCGAAACTGTATCTGAAGGATAATGACATTCCAAAATTTATCTGCTATTATGAAATACTGGTTCCGTTTCTTTCCCGCTGATGGAAATTCATGTCTCCAAAGAGCCAGTGAAGTTGGAAACAGTCTTTCTCTACCCCAGCCCATTTTACACGTAAGTAATCTATAATCTGGACATTTATACGATTCTCTCTAAAATTAGACATATGGCTAGCTTAAAAGGCAGTATCAGAATCTGAACCCAGGTCTCCAAAACCCCTAACTAGTGCACTTAATCCAAATTCTCTGAGGAATCCTTAATCACTTTGTCATTTCTTCAAGTTCCCTCAATACTTTATCCCCCTAATAATCAAGGTGTCCATTCTATGGATCTGTTTTTCCTCCATTATGGCATTTTAAGGTGAAGAGTCTAACTGAACACAGTGACACAGGTACTGGTTCTTATATTTTGAGGGAAGAATTTCTTCTCTCCTGCCAGTGAAAGATGGAAATTAAATCCTGAGTATTCATCAGTAAAATAATCTCACATCTTAACATCATATGTCAGACACCCACAAAAGCTTTAAAAAGTCCTTGGTGGCAACATTCTTAAATGTTCTTGAATAACTTGGTTAAAGTCTGCATTCTAAAGTGGGTAGTAAAAAGGAAGACAGAAGTTCTTTTTCAACAACAGTTGTTCCATTATGACTTGATAACTACTTCCGTGGCAAATTTACCCTGAACACTTGAAGATTAGAAACAGGTGATAAAGGCAAACAATATGAACTGTACAAGAGCAGGAACACTGTCTTGATTTCCATCTCCTGAAAAATGTATATAGCCGCTGCAAATTTGTATCACAGACTTAGTCCTCTAAGATAACAAGATGTTTCTTAGTGGTTTTCTCTAACTTAGAAATAGTTTTGTAGAGACTTTTAGACTTTTAAAAACTATTTAAGCTGGTATCTAAGTCTTTGTATCATATATTAACAAAAACAACCAATGATCCAGTAGGGCATGCATGGCACCCATGAAAAAAAAATAAAAAAAATAAAAAACAACTAATGAACCTGGATCTGGAAAAGAACGATGATTTTATCTTTAGAAAGCAAAGGCCCTATAAATAGCAAAATAAGCCCAAAATAAATGTCTGAGGGCTTAATCATCAAATGAATAGTTGATAAAGGAAAACTGTTAAAGCAAATCACTTTTCAAACATGGTCCTTCTCTTTTAATGTTTATCTCCCTCTCAATGCAGAACATCTGCTAGTTATCAAAAGTATACTGATCTAAACATATTGTGTCAAGGGCTTCATATGTAAAGCCTTTAGCCCTTAATCCTTACAACACTGTAAGGTAGGTATCTATTATTATTTTCACACTGCACTAAGAAAACTAGGGCACTTAAAAGATTAAGTAACTTGCCAAGGTTAAACAGCTTGAACCCAGCTCTGCAGGTTCTGAAACCTATGTTTTTTAGACACTCTACTGCCTTGGTAGCACAGAAAATTTGAAAATATGGTCAAACTCTAAGTTCTATCTGATGCATTATCCAAACCACTATAAATTGTGTGTGTGGTGGTTTTTTGTTGGGTTTTTTTTTTGTGTGTGTGTGTGTCAAGAAAGACTCAATAGTTTGCCATCTATACTTCCTGATTTTAGGTTGGGTTGTTGTCACAAACGTTTTTGTTCACCACACATATTGCCTAATCACTAGAACCCAAAAGGAGTAAGACTGGTTAAATTCTTAAACTTTATTTCCTGCTGGCCTAGAAGAACTTACTTAACCATTGTTATGTCCGTTAAGTATTAAGGTTTTCTTAGTGTGTGAAACACTAAAGTTATCACTTAAGTCTTAAAGGAAATCATCTATGTTATTAGTCATTTTACCTGTCAGTGAAGTTAAGAGCAGATCAACAGGATATAAACCTGGGTTGTTTCCTTCTTTAGGGGAAATTTCTTAATGACTTGTTAATTAAACCAAATGGAACAACTGGCCCTCCCAAAATGAAGTGTGGTGGAAAAGGAAACAGAGGAAAAGGAGAATCACAGTAAATTACGTGGTGATCTACTTTCACTAGTGTTAGGAAAGCAAAGGATGAATCTCCTCTTGAGTAACTTCAGTCTGACCACAATGGCCACTTGTTACACCTACCACCCACTCCAACACTTCAGGTTCATTAGGAATTAAAAGAAACCCATAAAATAAAGTACACAACCCGACCAGGCCTAAGGTCTCCGCACCACACCCTCGGGAACACAGAGGGTCAGTGCACTGCGTCCCTCATCCCCAAGTGTTCGCAGCTACCCTGGAAGCAAAGCCTACAGCCTGGGGCCAAGAGAGTCCTTCGGCCAGGGCAGTGACCCAGCTCTAGACAACCCCGCCCCCTCCCCTGACCAAAGGGTCTATGCCTAAAGGAATGGAGATAGGGGCAAGGTGAGAAAGGCCTGTTTAGGAGAGGAAGGGACTAACAGGATGTTCTGAAACGAGGAAGGGTCCCTTCTCAGCCTCGCCGGGCTGGACGAGCTCCGGGTCGGGGAGAGAGCCGGCCGCCGCCATGATGGGGCTGGCCGAGCCGGGGGGGGCGTGACGCGGGCGGCCCTGGGCGCGGGGCCAGCTCCCCTTCCCCCTTCTTCCCCTCCCCTGCGTGGGCCTCGGCCACAACTGACCCCCTGATACTCACGCTTTGTCCACCAGCTCCCGCACCTTCCACATGTTCAACATCGTGCCCCGCGCGGGCCGAGACACCGCCTCCCTCCCCTGTTCCCCACGGAACCCGGGACACTTCCGCGCCGGGGCAGATCCAGGCCGGGGTCGCCGCCGCTGCTCGCCGCCACGAACTCCCCCAGTTAGGTCCTTCTTTGGCCACAGCCGCGGCGCCGCCGGTGACACGTCGAGACGCGGGGGCAGAGGCGCTGCGTGGAGCGGAAGTGCCCGACTTTCCGCCCGCTGCGCGCGGGGCACGCCGGGACTTGTAGTTCTTTGCGCGCCTAGCGGACCAGTTAAACTGAGAGAGTTGGTGTGGTAAGTTTGGTACTATATTTGTCAGACTTTCCCAGTTCTACGCACGCTTCCCCATGCCTGTGACCTTCGGAACCAGAAACTCTGGGTGATGGGGCCCAGCAATCTGTGCTTTAACGAATCCTCCGTGCTCAAGTGTCAGAAGTACTAGTATAAGAGCTAGCTTCACTCAAACTTTTCAAATGTAAATTATTGCTTCTCCCCAGAAACAGTCCACAGCGTGCTAGGATTTTGAACCTTCAAATTGAAAGGATTTTCTTGTAAAATAAGTCTTGTTAAAGTATTACCTGAGAAAGTACAGAATAAATCATGTGGGAACAGGCCGTAAAAAAGAGAAATATAAAGTATTGCTATGTTATTCATAATGATTATACAGAAATGTTACTGCTATATGTATTTGTATTCCACACTGACAGAAGCATCACTGTGTTTGGTTCCAAATATACTTTCTTCTTAGGGCCTGAATTTCCATACTGTAAATTGAAGAGTATTCTGTGTTCTAAAACTTATTCCACTCTTACTCTATGACACAGTGGTTTTATATTTAGACAGCTATCTAATATCCTCCTTAGATACTTCATCGTAAAACTCAGAAACTTAGTTCACACTCTGTAGGAAACTAGAAAGACAACACTAGGACATGTCCAGGAACTTGGCAGGTTTATGTTCTTAAGCATAGATATACACAGACTACATTCAGTGTTTTATTGTAATGTCTGCTGTCACTTCATTTTTCACTTATTCATTTTTAAGAATGTTCATGTTAAAGCTGCAAGAAACCTTAAAATTCATTTGATCCAACTGCCTAAATTTTACGGTGCTTTTCATTCTATAAATATTGAGAATTTTCTGTGTGCCAGGAGTAGGGAATACAGCTGGGAAAAAGAACAACACGGCCTCAGCTCTCTAGGATCTTAAGGGTCTTTGGAGCAAATATAATAATCAAGGAAACATTTAAGATAATTGCAGATAGATAGTGGTTGAAGAAAACAGAAGATAATGTTATAGAGAATGATGTTAGAGGAAAATAACAGGGAATATTTAGGGCCTCTTTGAGGACACTATATTTAAGTTAAATCTTGAATGATGAAAAGGAGCTGGCCATAAAAAAAGATCTGCAAGAAAAGAGTATCTGGTGAAGAGGAAGACTCTGATTCACAAGGGAGAAGTGAGATTGATTGCGGCTAGTTGTGATGCCTGTTAACAATGATCCTAAATCAAGAACCCAGAACTTCTGACCCCCTAATTCCTCAGGTCAAATCACCTTCGCATTGCATCCACTTAATTACTGGAAGCATTTTTGAAAGGGTTTCAATACAGCTTTGGGATTAAGGCCTGAGAGAAGCAAGTTGAAAGAATTGCCAGACAGAAAGGTATAAAAAGCAGAAATCAGGACAAAGCTCTCTCAAAGCTTTGTCAAGATAGGAGTGCTTGGGCAGACAAAAAGTGAATTGGATTGGTGGGTGGGGAGAGGCAGGGAAAGATGAGAAGAGATAGGTAGAGAAATGGGGCTTTCAAATGAGAGGTTTGTTTCCTGTCGAAAGGACTGTCCAGCCCGAGATTCAAAGGATGGAATGTGGCCAGAGGAGATAAGAAAGAGAAACTACCTTGCATAAATGATAGCTCAGCAAGTTAACAAGCAGGTCCAGGGTACACCCCAGAATGGGCCTGGTATAAAAATAACCACCTTCCCTGCCCTGGGCCTGTTTGTACATTCATAGCAATTCACAATCAGCATCACCAGAATTACCTAGAGAGTACAATGTCACTGTCTACTTTGCTTGTTTCAGCACGAAGTTTGGAAGTGTCTAGACTTATTCCCGAGTTGTCATGCTGGGGCCTTCTAGAATTTAACACCAAAAAACCTGCCCGTCTACTTTTGATTCAAGAGAGTCCCTAATGGACTCAGAAGAACCAGACAAGGAGAGTTTGTTAAAAAGTGATCTCCAAAGACTAACCATTTGCATGTCAACAAAGTGTTCCATTTTTATCTTTTATCTTGCAAGTTTGGGAGCAGTTTCCATAGTAACTTCTTTGTGGCAATTTAAATGTGTCCATTGTAGAAAAATAAATGAGAAAATGCCCCAATCACCCCTCTTCAGGAAAACACATTTTTCACTAAATGAGCTGACACTTTGAGTAAGGCCAAACCAACACAAGGTTTGAAAGCAAATGTACTCAGATGTATGAGGCACTGTTGTAGACTCTGGCTGCATATCTTCTGTGGTTGGCTCCCTGATGTTTCCTTCGGAGGATTTAATTCATGGTACACAGATGTGGCAACCATGGGGAGGTACAGCCCAAATCTCTCTTTAAGAGAACCAGTTGCAAGGAATGTGAATGGCTGACAGCTTCCAGCAGCCACTCCTCAGGGATCAACCACAGCATTGACATCAAGTCCACGCTCTCACTGGGCTACTCATAGACAGTGAGTGAGCATGTTGGAGCCAGGCCATTTCTCCCCAGTGCAAGACTTCTGTACTGAGCAAGCATTGCCCTGGGCTCCCCATCAGCCTCGCCCAGAATTCCTCTGAGATTCCTTGCAATCAGGGTGTCTTCCTACCCAATCTTCCTTTCTTCCTTCTCCCTTAACAGGTGTCAGAACTTCCTTGGAGTCTGAGGCTATCCCCACTTACTCTTGTTCCCTCTTCCCTTTATTCTTCATAGGTGTTTCCCCCAGTTACTCTCTTACACTTCTAATTCCATCTTGGCTTCTGCTTCCTGCAGTAACCAAATTGACAAGACAGGCAAACAGTTCTACCTTGCTTTCAGTATTTGGCCCAATGAGTCCTGTTTCTGATTACACTTGACTGTTCCTCTTTAGAAGCTGAGATACTTTTCTAATCATATTATAAGAGTTGCCACAAGAGCCATGCGGATTATATATTGCACAACCCCAGGGGCACCATTTCTATGGACTACCATGAACTGCCAGACAATTAGCCACAGAAAGGAAGTATAAAGTAGTGGTTAAAAAGAGTAGATTCTAGATTCAGACAAACCTAGGCTCAAACTCTGCATCTGCTGTTCAGTGGCTTGGGCATTTTGGATAAGTTAGTTAAACCAGTATAACACAGTGATTATGAACTGGACTCCAGAGCCAGATTGCCTAGGTTTGAATCTTAATTTTACTACTCTCTAGCTGTGTGACCTTGGGAGAATTATTTGACACCTCTGTGATTCAGTTTTCTCATCATAATGGGGAATAATAGAAACCTATCATAAAGGCTTTTTCAGACAATTAAAAAAAGGTAATGTTTAAAAAAAATCTAGGACAGTACCATATGCAATTGTCAACAAGTATTTAGTAAAATCCTACTATGTTCCAGGCACTGTGCTAGGTGGTGGATATACAACTGTAGATAAAATCAGCAGAGTATACAGTAAATAGATGTAGTAGACATAATAAACTCAAAGCAAAATGCTGAGGAACAAATGAAATAACATATACAACTTACTTTACACTGCGTCCTACATGTAGGAAGTGCTCACTAAATTCTACTCATTATTATCAACTCACTTTTCTTATGTGGATCTCAGCTTTTTTCCTTATAAACTGAAGGGTTGTTCTATCAGAGTACCCTAAACCTAGCCAAACATCAGAAATTCCCAGACATCTTTAAAAATTTCAGGGTTTTTTTGTCCTGCCCCAGGAGTTCCTGATGTACTGTTGTATTATTTTCTATATTTTTGGTCACAAGTGACAGAAACTCAAAACTAGCTTAAGCAGGACACAGGAAACTGGGGAGTTCAGAGATAAAATTTGCCTCAGGAACTTAGCAAATACCGTCAGAACTCTCTTTCTGATGCTCATTTTCCTTTATTGCAAATAGGTTTCTCCTAGTTGGCAGGAAATAGGGCTACCACTCTGTGGAGAATGGGTACCATTTTTTCAATTAGGGAACCAAGAGGGAAGAGACACTTTTATCTTTCATCCACCGAGTCTAATAACACAGGGAAGGACTCTGACTGGCCCAGTTTGGATCACGTACCTATCATGGGACCAATCCTCTAGAGAGGTGTAAATTACAGAATTGGTAATAGGAGAACCACAAGGAGTGGGGAAAAAAAGAGTGCCCTGAAGAAAGCCATGCCTTGGCAGACAAAAGCAACAGTTATTTACAACCATAGGTCTAAGACATCTATATTTTTTAAAAATTTCTTAGATGATTTTGCCAGGGTTTGAGATGCCCCGAGTTAGATGCTACCACGTCCTTTCTAAGTCTGACACCTTTTTTTTCTCTTTTTTTTAATGTCTAAATTACACAAAGTTGAGTTGGGGAACAGCAAAAGAGAAAAAAATACCACGGGCAATAATAGGAGAAAGAAGCAATGAAGAAAGAAGGGGTTAAGTGGATTGCAGCATTGTGCATCAGGTAAGCTGGTAGCAGGGCACACCCTTGCTAACTCTCTGTTCTGCTCATAGTTGGGCTCTTCTTGCCTGAAATTCTGTCTCCTTTCAAGGCTGTCAGCAGGGCTTAGGTAGGCCTATTCAGAAAGCCTGGTAGGTGCTCCAAAGGGCTAACATATTTGCAGTCTTTCTGCAAGAACGTGCAGGTACTGGCAGGAGGTGAGATGGAGGTAGAAGTGCTCTTGGAATCATTTCCCTCCCCCCTGGAATTCTTTGTCTCTCTCTGTCTCTTGACCAGAGGTGAGCCCAGAATGGATGTGCTGTTCCTAGTGTCTAGGTCTCTGAAAACCCTATGCACAGGAAGCCAAGGTATAGTCATTGAAGCAATGAAGCAGCTTGTGAATGTGGGAACTGATCCTGCATTGTCAAGACACATTCAGGAGTGAATGGTGTGGATGTCAGAAAGGATGTGCTGGCAGGTTTCTGAGGCAGGGTCTTTCTGGATAAGGTCAAGTGTCTTGGGAAAGCCCACAGGTGTCC